CCAAAACTGATATTGAGTAATTGTGGAATGGTGTAGGTGGCTAGGACTATTCACGTTGGGAGAGAGCTGGCACAACAACCACCATGCCTTTGAGGCATCGGCTAGGCACGGACTGGAATGGTATCAGGTAGACATAACTTGGTACCTCATTCGGTTCTTCCAGGCTCTCGGTTTAGCCACTGACGTCAAATTGCCTTCCGATGCTCAGAAACGCAAGTTGGCTTTCGCTCATTAATCTCAGTTCTAATTCTATCTATTTCGATTTCAACTGTGTTATTTAAAATTATATGTACTCATCAGTCAGTCATCATTCACCCTATGGTTCTTTATGCAAAACTGCTAAGGATAATCTGTTCTCATGAACTTGTAAAACTAGTTGATTCAAACACCTTAACTTTTAAATACATTCCACGCTGTATGAACAATAAAAACCAATGTAACACATTATCTTTAAAAAGTAACAAACCTTGTGACAGATGAGTTTAGAAGATGTAGTCCGGTAACTTCAGAGGAAACTCTGCCACATTGACTTCGAATTGACTCCCTTTTGGATCCTTCAAACTACATATAATACAAGAACCAAAGGTCAAAATTCCACTCCAATTTCAATTTTCTATCACCATATGCGGTCTGAAACATTAAGCATCATCGTCCATGAAGCATACCTTCCAGGCACAAAGGTGAAAGAGCCCTCAATGGACCCAATAGTTGTTGGAAAATTAGAACAACTCTCATACACAAATTCTTCTTCCCCGGCTTGTAAGAGCGGATACTGCAAATATAACAAAGCCGCATTAGAAAGTTCATAAGTTTACACCACAAGCCAGGCATTTACGCTCATTCAACAAATTTTTATGCCTGAGAACATACATAAGTGTGAGAAAGTAAGGAGTTTCTAAAGTAAAACTCTTACCTTTCCTATCACAGCTTCTCCATTAACATTATCTATTACCGCATCATCAGCTCGGATAACCCAATGTCTCCAATACAGTTGGCAAGAGCTATGGTGTATCCCATTCAAGATGCATCCTTCGGGCATGAGAGACATGCGGATTGAATATGCATACCAATATGCCGGTGGCTGATTCCGAAGATTAGCTATTTCCGGGATAAACACAGACGAAGCACGTACCTACATTAGTAATGCACTTAAATATCAGATTACAATTCAAAAACCTGAATATCAATAACTTAAACCTATAGCTTACCTGCACACCATTGGTTACGGCAACAGAACACAAGGGAGGAATCTCAGGGAACAAACTGATACTTTTGATGTTTTCCTGTTCACGGACTTTGATTGTGCCGGTTTGTAACCGCCGGGCATGTTCTTCCAACCAAAGCAGCAAGGCATCCTGTTGCTGCTCACCACTGACATCATGAACTGATCTAACCAAAGAATCCGGTACACAAGGAAGCATTTGGCGAGTACTTGTCGCCGTATAAAGCTGTCCATTTGTGCAGTCTAGGAAAAAGATTTTTATACTAGAAGCAGCAGATACAGCCACAACAATAAGGTTCGACCTGCTCGAGAAACCGATGTGGCGCATCGCTTCCTTAGTCTTCTTTATCACTTCCTTAAGAGGTAGCAAGTAGACATTAACTTCATGAGAATAAGCAGAATAACCACCTATAATCCCTAGAGTCCCATGAAGCCTATTGGAAGAAGAAGAAGACTCTTGACCATCGACGAAACGGTAAAGAAGCCTTGTTGGAAGAGGAAGCTTCACTTTGAGAACAGTCTCCACTTCTTCAAGTTCATCTTCTGTAACACCTTTTCTCAATGTTGCCTTTGCTTCAGGGAAGTTCAAACTCAACCATAGTTTGAGATTGTCCCAACAACATGTAACACGTTTAACAAGATTCCATGGGTACATTCTAAATGACTCTCTCCACAATTCATATGCTCTCTGAAGAATCAAAGACACAATCTTTCAATGAAATGTAAAACCACAAACACTAAAAAAGAAACCTAGAAAATGTCAAAGAACGGAATTTGATGAAACAAAAAGTGAAATTGACCTTGAAGGAAGGAGCAGAATCGCCATGGGGATCGAGAGGAGTAGAGATGTTGAGATCAAGGGAGCAAAAGATCGACCAGAGAGATTCATCTGAAGCGGAAACCTTAAGGCGTTTGCTGACACAAGCTACTCTCGCTGTGTCTTGAGGACCGATTTTGGATAATATGATGTGAAGAACCAAATCTCCAGCATCCTCTAGACCCATGGCTTTCGTCTCTCAGACAACGACCCTTGTTGTTGCTTTTTCTCTCAGTTTGGCTTGTCAGCTCTGTTTCACAGTTCTTGGAATCAGAAGAAGCGAAGCAAGCATCTTTGGATAAACATCAAATTTCTTTCCTATTTTGATAAAATTCATTAATTTAATTTTAATAGGGTTTTAAAGTGGATTAACGAATACTTTAGGGTCTAAATAAAATTTGAGGGTTACAAAGAAAGAAATTTCAAGTAGACACTTCCGAACCCAAAAAGAAGAAGAAAGTGATTTGAAAGAAGAAATTAAGCCCAAAAAAGGAAGTTAAAAGTTTCAATTTTATCATTTTATTTCTACAACAAAAGCTATGACAATGAACAGGATTAGTAACAGACTACAGAGGAACCATTTTTAATGTTTTTAACTTAAGCTTTAAAATTGTCCTTTGCTCTTCTTATAACACCCAGAGCTTCTGCTTCATCTGCAGTCTCTGGAATACCTAAAGCCCGACGGATATCCATATTCCCAGTGCGAAGAAACGGATTACACGCTTTCTCCATCTTCATCGTCGTTGGAATCTGAGATTTAGCAGACACAAGATTAATCAAGAAATTCGAGAATCAATGTGTGTCTTCAGAAGTGTGACAATTTCAATCAGTTTGGAGAAATATTATCGATTGCAAGAAACGAAAGAAAGATTACCGTTGGTAACTTCTTCTCACGGAGCTCTGCAACGTAGGCTGCGTAAGACTGGAGTACCTCGTTAGTTGGTTCTATAGATAACGCAAACTTGGAATTACTCTGCCAGATCAAAAATCATTCAGTCAGATGAAGTATTTATTACACATGTGTGTGTGATAATTGTATATGAAAACACGCAGTGCTTATCACAAACCAGTGTATATTCATGGCCACAATATACGCTTGTGTCATCTGGCAAAGAAAGAATCTTCTCAAGCGAAGCTAGCATCTGCAAAACAAGCGCGGACCATTGAAAAACAAATTCAAAGAGGGTTAAAAAGATGCAAGAATTTATATTTTCAGAATAATTATCTGTATAAGATTAGATATAATGATGTTTACCTGCTCTGGAGTACCTTCCAAGAGCTTACCACATGATAAACTAAACAAGGTGTCTCCAGTGAAAATTGCTCGTGCCCCTGGAAAGTAGAAACTGATATGGCCTACAAGCAGAAATGAGAATACTTAAATGGGGTAAGGCTTAAGGCTATGCATATATATAGTTTATGTTTGGAGAACCGAAACCAGAGAAATCTCAATTGTCAGTCGGGAAAGTTAAGAGCCTAGTGCGAGGAGAAAAAGATAGACCATGAGAAATACAAAGTTCTTAGAGCCAAAAAGAATATTGTGACAAAACCAACAGTTTTTTAGGACAGAAACTTAATCATGCGAATCTTGAAAAAGATACAAACTCTTGAGGCTCAAAATGTTATATAACACGACAGTAATAAAAACTACACAGGCCACACAAGTAGGACATAATGTATACATTTGAAGCAGTCTGACAAAAAAATCCACCAAGACAAAACCTACTCCTTCAAATTAAAACAATTTCACAAAACATTATGTGGCAAAAATGAATGAACATTACAATATGGATTGGATAACTAAACTTTGAACTACCCTGAATCAGAAATACATAAATTTACCACTGAAAGGAATAAACTTTCCATTTAAGACGGCATGTAGAGGGAAATGTTGTAACCAACCTTTTGTGTGGCCAGGAGTTTCCATAACATGGACTTCATGACCAGCAAACACCCATTTGTCCCCATCTTTCAAAGCTATATCAATTCCAGGAATCCGGACCTTATCTACCGCTGAACCGACCACCTAAGTACATGCCACATTATAGTGTGCAATTAATTATTACAACTCAAAAATCGAGAAAGCATCACCACACAATATGGACAGAGAAAGAGAGAGAAGTTACATTCACCTACCTTTGCACCATACCTGTCTTTAAGTTCCAAATTCCCACCAGTGTGATCATAATGGTGATGCGTATTCAATATATATGTTAGATCTCGACTATTCTTCTGCAACGCATCTATAACAGGTGCAGCTTCAGAAGGGTCAACCACACCAACTGTACCAGTATCCTCGTCATGTAAAATATAAGCATAGTTATCCGAAAGACATGGCACCTGGAAAGAAAATTTAGCTTAGCTTAATGGGGAAAACGCGTTGGAATCAGAAAAATGTTGATAAGGAACAGGGGTGAGCAAGAAAATCACCATCAACAATAAGAACAAAATCAACGAAAACAAACACTCACCAGTTCAATTTGCAATGAAGAAGAGACATTGGAGACACTGCAGAATCTTGACACTCGAACAGATCCACCACGCATAGTTGTAAGAGGCGAAGAGAACAACTTCATCACACCACAGACAAGACCCTTTCTGAGGTCAAGCTGTCTCAAGCATGGCCTCAAACATGGCTGACTTGTCAGCTTCTACTAAACATAAAAGCAGAGGTTATGAAGCAAATCTATAAACAACAAGACTGAAAAGTATTCATACAAGAGCCAACAAGAAAAGTCACAACCAATGTCTCAGCTTTGAGTAAGAAGCTAATCAAAGCAATTTGGTCACAGATTGCAGCTAGCACATATCATCGAGTCCAAATCCAAGGAAAAAGTTTGTCTTTAATATCAGAGAATCATTCCCAAAACAGAACCAGTCTCCTTAAAATCATAACCTTTCACTAAAACCATAAGATTTTCCACAAAGTACACACTGAGGTGTATTGAACTGATAAAGAAAGCAACTTTTACAATACAATCGATAACAAATCGAACTGAAATATAAATTAGAGAACAAAACAATCAGGAGTATCTGGTTTCTGTGCGACTAAACCCTAAATTTGGTGAGTTATTGGGACACTGAGACAAACATGACAAGAATCGACCAGCACGAATCGAAAGGAATACAAACCCTAGAACATCGAAAGAAGGAAGCTGCAGAAGAAATTTTCGATATGGCTTGCATAGCTCTCTAATCTCTATAATGTCTCACACACAGAACAAAAGTCTCTCTCTTTGCTCGATCTATCAGAGAGCGATTTCTACAGAGAGAGATTCTTCGTGAAAGTTCTTAACTTCTAACAACAA